TGACTTGAACCTCTATGCTGTGTCTCAGTTCCTACCTTTTTATTTACTTTGGTTGAGTAGAGTATGAATTGGGCCATAAAGCTGGAATCACAGAAAATCATAAGAATTTAGATTTTTCAACTGTTTTTCCTGTATCATGGCTAGGACTTTATTCTGAACTTTGAAAACAAACCAAATGTTGAATTTATTTCACTCTTAGCCACTTAACCCCATTTCTGTATGGAACCTCCATGTTTCCCACCCTGTACTTGAAACCCCAGAACTGGGCTGTAGTGAAAAAAAAACACATTATACAATGATGTAGCTTTGTTTTGTTGTTGTTGTTGTTTTGTTCTTTGTCTTTTAACTTGACATAGTATTCAGACCTTAGTGCTCCTGCTAGCCCTGTTTAAGAGTGGAGAACAGTTGAGTAGTTGAGTCTTGTTTAAACTGAATGATAGTTACAGGCTAGAAGGACAGAACTGTTGAAGGTCTCAAAGTGTAAGGACAAAGGAATGCACATTCTCTTGTTCCGAATTGATTTCTGAGCTTAATCTCAATGCCTGGTTTCTTATCTGAGATATATAAGTAATTCAAATGTTCATAATTTTGAGGTAGAGAGGGAATTATTTTATTGTGTCTTTGTAAATACAGAATTGCTTTCTGTATATCACAGATACAATCCCTGCATTTCTATCTGATTATTAAGCTATTCAGGGTTGTTCTAGAACAAGCAGGAGTGACCTGTGTGGTTTACCAACTTTTTTCCCTTTCTATCTTTCTTTCTTTCTTTCTTTCTTTCTTTCTTTCTTTCTTTCTTTCTTTCTTTCTTTCTCTCTCTCTTTCTTTTAATGTAATTAAAATTAGAAACAAGTTTGCTTCACATGTCAATCCTAGCTCCCTCTCCCTGCCCTCCTCTCCCGCCCCCCCATGGTTTACCAATTTTATGACACTTTAGATGTGCACTGAAATCATAAGAGAATTACCTGAGAAGTTGTTTCAAAGAATATTAACCCACCAGGTTAGCAAGTCTTTAAATGTTGGCATGTAAGAAGTAGAGAACTTCTCTGCCATAGTGGTGTACTGATTTGTAGGTTTTCATAAGGATCTGACCTGCCCAAAGTATGCAGGATGGGAGCCATCAATTGCTTTGCTACTGGGCCATATTGTATGTCTGCTGAAATAGCATGTGAGAATGAAGTGGACATTGTTAAGGGAAGCCTTTTTCTTTGAGAGAAGCCTTCCTGCCAGCCTGGTTCTAGAGCCGCATCAGTCCCAAATAAACACACAGGAGGCTTTATTAATTATGAAGCTGTTGGCCTTGCTTGTTTCTTACTGGCTAGCTCTGACTTAAGTAATTACCCCATAATTGTTAATCTAAGTATGTCTCTTAGAAGTTTCCGGGCTTCCTACCCCATGGCGTTACATCTCGACTCTCTGTGTTTCTCCTTCCCAGAGTCCTTCTGGACTCCTAGTCCCACCTATCTTGATTCCCTATTGGCCAGCAGTGCTTTATTGACAAATGCACAGGACTTACCCCCAACAGGACATCAATTCAGTATAAAAGCCATTGGTTCTTAGAAACAACAGAGATCCTGGTTCAGGTGGGCATGTGGCCACACTGTTTAGTCACGAGTTGTTCGTGTTATAAATGTAAAAATGTGTAAGAAAGAATGAAAATACAGCATTAATGCATTAAAAGTATTAGCTCTCAAGTGGTCAGTCCCCCATACTTCTCTCTGTTGATTTTATACAAACAACTTTTCTTTCCTTTCAGTGCATGCCAGGCAAAAACTGCCACTGAGCTACTCTCCCCAGCCATTCACTATGGATTTAAGTATCTTCATGAGGATATTAAGGTTGGAAGGAGTAGTAAGATTTGCATTTTTTAGTGTGGTAGCTTGAATGCAATGGCCCCCATAATCTCATAGGGAGTGGCACTATTAGGAGGTGGGGCTTTGTGGGGTGGGCATGTATGGCCTTGTTGGAGGAAATGTGTCACCTTGGGGGTGGGCTTTGAGGTTTACTCTAAAGATACTGCCCAGTGTGTCAGTCAGTTTCCTGTTGTCTGCAAGATGTAGGATTCTCAGCTATCTCCAGTACCATATTTGCCTGCATACTGCCATGTTCCCCATCATTATGAAAAATGGACTGAACCCCTGAAGCTGTAAGCAATCTCCATCAATTAAATATTTTCCTTTACAAAAGCTACCATGGTCATGGTGTCTCTTCACAGCAATAAAAACACTAAGACAGTATCTTGTCAGAGGTTTTATCCATAATAATTTATTATAAAGTAACAAACATGTAGAGGCTGAATTTTTAGACAATAACAATTTTTCCCTAGACCTCCATTGTCATCATGTCTTGGAGTTGTCAGTGATGCACTTTGACATCTTTCATGCTTTTTAAGTCAACACAAAAGAGAATGTGGTCACTCATTTATTTCAGGTAAGAAGCTGTCGACTACCTCCATTTTACAGTTTTTCCTCCAGGTGCTTAGGAGGAAAATTAAAATAGGAGAATGGTTTTTTTAAGAAGCAGTACAGTTCCTTGAATATAAAAATGACAGTCAAGAAGTACTCATTTGTATACCAATTTGCCAAAATTTAAAACATTTTTACATTGCTTACACTACACATGATGCCCCAGCCACCTCACTAAGAAAGGGGCTCAGCGTGATCCAAGGTTCAGGCTTCCATAGGGCTTCAGTGCTTACATAAGCCAAGGCATCTGGTGGCCCCTATGCCCAAGGACTCTGCTGCAGGAGGCAAGGTATCCAGACTTGGTGATCTGTTTGGGCTCCATTCATATCTACCCTGGGATGTGCACAGTGCACAGTCTGTAGGTTGACTATGCCTAGAGTATGTGACTCTGACAGGTTGCTGGAAAATGAACTTCAGGAGCTCATTAGGGTCAAATCAGGATCTCATTGCAGCAGGAAATGCTCAGCAACCCTTCAAGGTCAGGGAATATCATAAGATGGTTTCTGTTTTCTGTCCTAGTCTGTTCAGTGGTCAAGTGCTCATTACTGTATGAGAGCCTACAGGATTACTGGATTTAATTATTGAGCAATTAATCTAATCATGAGACACTACTTCATTGAGAGACAGCATAGTCTCGTCCTGGTGCCTCTCTTGTGCATGAGCAGTGTCGCTCAGGCTTTAACTGAGTATCACACGATGCATCTACAAGATGCAAATTCATTTGCTCAGAAACAACCGAAGGACTGGGAAATTGGCTCAACACTGTACAGGCATGGGAATCTGAGTTCAGATCCGCAGCACCCATGTGTAAAAGGAGGCATTAAGGCACACCTATAATCCTAGCACCAGGGAGGAAGAGGCAGGAAGATCCCTGGAGCTCACCGGTCAGCTGATCTGGCTGAGTTGGTGTAATGGCTATGTCACATTCAGAACATATGCAGTACCCCACCACTCTTTCCCCGTGCCTGGTTTCCTTAGTCCTTCTTCACCATCTTGTTTGATGTTCCTTGGGCCTCAGAAAAGGTGACACGATGTCTCCCTTAGGGCCAGCACTAACCAGCCATTTAGTTCCAACACTTCAGCTAGTATGAGTCCCCGCTTTAACCATTGTCCACAGCCAAAATAGGTTTCTCTGACCAAGGCTAGGAACTGCACTAGTCTATGGGTGTAAACACATGTTTATAAGGCAGTTTAGCTACAAGTTGGCAAAATATCAGTAATATATTACTTAAAGGGCCCATGACCCACATAGACATAAAAGTTTTGAACAGGTCTACAGTACTAGACATATTCCATCCTGTAAAACAGTCCTCAAATCCAGTCAGGAAATAATTGGTTACTCGAAGAACATTCATGTCACTATTACACCAGTGAGCAAATCTTGCCAGGTGATCAGTATCGAAGCACATAGGTTCTACAGGTGCTTGTGGTAGTTGATGACTTCCCTCCTGTTTTGTTTAGCCTTAGTTCTACATTCATGTGACATGAAGCCACCCCTCTGCTCTGGTTGTAATGAAGTAACAAGGTTTATCCTGCCTTAAATAGCTACAAGTGAGGTAGGAAATAAAAACAATACAAGAAAATCTATAAAACTAAAATGTGTTTGAGAAGTTTAATAAAATTAACGAACCACTAGCCATAATAATGGGTGAGGGGATTAGAGTACAAATTAACTATATAGGAACTGAAAGATGTGACATAATTATATATTTGACAGAAAAAGAGAATGCAGAAGTATTGTCCACAACAGCCAATAAGCTCAATAACAGTTTTACTCAGAATAGTTGAAATTGGAAAGAACTCAAGTGTCCAGTAATTGGTGAATAGGTAAGTGTGGCGTGTTCATACAATGGAAATATTTGGTAGGAAGAAATGAAGTACCAATACAAATCTACTCTCTTTTTCCCTTTTCTTTTTTTATTGAGCTATACATTTTCTTCCCCTCTCCCCATAAATGGTCTTTCAAAAGCCATGCTAAACAATGTAAGCCAGTCACAAGAAAACACTTATACTATTGTATTTATAGGAAACATCCAGTCTAGGAAAATCTATAAAATAAAATACAGAAAGTAATTAACAGCTACTAAGCTAGGGCAAAAGGAGATCACTGAAAGGATTCTCTCAGGGATGACTATTCTAAACTGACTGTGTCGATGTTTGCATAAATCTGTGAGCATTAAAAACAAGGATATATTTTAAATGTATGAATGCTATGATGCGTGAATTACTAAAATGATTTAAAAAACAGAATGAGCAGAACAGAGTGAAAGAATGGATGGGACAAACAAGAAACAAAAAAGGGCATGATTCTCTTCAAAGTACATTTAACTTCTGTCTGTGATGCTCTTTATAAAACCCCTCTGTGTGTGTCACATACAGACAGGAGCATTCCCTGTTAAATTTCCATCAGTGCCCCATGTTCTTAACCAGGAATCAGGGAAGCTCTGCAAAGCACAAGCCCAGGCCACACAGACCTGTGTCTCAGACTCAGCCCAAGAGGCACGCTAAGACGCCAAATTACTCGTCAACACAGGGTGACTTGGAGAATATGCCTCAGCTTTTATTATGCTTCTTGAACCAGGGCTGCCAACGCTGGGAGGTTCCTCGTGCTTGTTTTTCGTAAGCCCAGCTCATCACAGTCTTCGTTTGAGGCTTCTTGAAGTCGGTGTTGGAGTAGTTTCCTCTTCCACTGTGTGCAGAGGGTAGCAACCTCCAGCTCCTCTGGATCCGAGGAAGGCCATCTCAGACCCTGCAGGAGCGAAAGGGTAATCAAGCTCAATTCTGGGGGTGCTGCCGTATGTTTCCAGGGTCACCAGTTTGGAGCTTACTCTTGGGGGTTCCTTCTAGAGGGTTAGGGCTGCCTTTCTGGGGTCACAGCTCTCATGTTACAGCAGCAAAGTGTCATGTGTGAAGGGAGTAGGAACAGCCCACCCTAAAAGGTGATGAAAGGCAGACAAAGGGCTTTATATCGATCCCAGTGAGATGTCCTGAGAACATAAGCCCATTGCTGTATTCTCTCTCAGCAGATAAGAGCACTGGCTGCTCTTCCTGAGGACCCAGGTCCAGTTCCCAGCACCCACGCGGCAGCTCACAAGCAGTTTCTCTTCAGGCACCAAGCACGCACGTGTACACAGACATATATGCAGGCCAAATACCCACACACATTAAAAAGTATTTTCCCTCCCCACCCAAATCCTTCCTCTGTTTGCATCTTACACACAAAGAACTAAAACAGAGAAAATTGGATATGATTTAGTCTACATTACAGATGGTCCCTGACTTATGATTACCAATTTACAATCTTTCAGCTTTGAAATATGACTACATCTTAATGTATCACCATTAGGTGTGAGGGCTTGAAGACATGGCTCAGCAGTTAAGAGCACTGGCTGCTCTTCTAGAGGGCCTGGGTTCAATTACACACGCCGGCTGTAGCTCCAATCCAGGAGTATCTGTCCCCCCCTTCTGGCCTCTGCGGGCACTGCACACATGTGGTATACAGACACACATGCAGGCAATGTATTCATGCACATCAAATGAAAAATAAGTCATTTTTAAGAATTAGGTTAAATTATTAATGTATCTTTTATTTTTGTTTGTTTATCTTTTTCCATCTTTTTTTTCTGTAGTTGGAGGTGAGTTTCTGTCCTGCCCCATTCCATAGCTGCTTCCCATATTACCACATGGGAGGCTTACACTAATTATAAATGTTTGGCTGGCATGCTGCTGAAGGAGTAACATGTCAGATTACAGGTAAGCCACTGCCTCATGGCAATACATAGAGTAATAGAAATGGGTTAATAATTAAGAGATAGTTAGCCAATAAGAAGCCTGAGCCACCATCCAAACCGTTTATAATTAGTATGTCTCTGTGTCCTTATTTGGGGCTAATCGAGTTCATAATTAATATGTCTCTGTGTGCTTATTTGGGGCTAATCAGCTGTAGGACCAGGTGGGAAAGAAACTGTCGTCACTATTTAGGTTCTTTTACATATAGATATCCAGTTTGATTAGCATCAGTTTTTGAAGAGCTCATCTTTTTTTTTTTTTTCTTTTTTTGGTTTCTCGAGACAGAGTTTCTCTGTATTGTTTTTGGAGGCTGTCCTAGAACTCGCTCTGTAGACCAGGCTGGCCTCAAACTCACAGAGATCTGCCTGCCTCTGTCTCCCAAGTGCTGGGATTAAAGGCGTGTGCCACCACCACCCGGCCATTTTCCCTTTTTTAGACAGGGTCTCATCACTGTGTATCTCAGTCTAGCCTCCAATCTCCTTGCCTCAGCCTCCTGAGTGCTGGGTTACAGGTGTGAGTTACCATGTCTGGTCTTAAGTGCACTAATGACTTAACTCTATTCTCAACTTGTGGTAAGTTTATAGGGGCATAGCCACATCAGGAGTCAGGAGGCTTCCGTACAGTGGAGGTGTTTCATCCCTTCAGAGGAGGTAGGATTTAAGTCAGGTCTGAAAGGGAAGCAGCCGGGCCTGGGAAGAAGTGACGAGGACAGAGGCAGGCCACACACAGAAAGGCCCTAAGCAAACTCATACTTGTTTATTTAATCTATTTTTGCTTTGACTTTTATTTGCTTTGAGACAGGCTGGCCTCCAGCTTGCTGTGTATCTAAAGATAATCATGAACTTCAGATCCTCCTGCCTCTGCCTCCACTGTCCTACATCACACCCAGGGGAGGTGTTCTTTTAGGCATGCCAACAGTGTCTATTTAAAGCTGTTGTTTAAGATATGGGAAGCCAGAAAAGTATTGCTTTCACCCCAATGAGACAGTCAGTCAATACACAGACTGTGCTTTTCTGGACTCTATTGGAGAACTGAGTTTGAAGTTCTCCAGCCTCATACGTATTGGAAAACAGACATGTCTGAGGAGAGATGGGATAGGAATGGCTTGCATAAGACTCTTCCTGGAGGGAGACGGGGCAGACATGTAATTGAATATAAGGTTTGGGGAAAGTTTTAAAGGTCTATGGATGTGGCTTAGTATTAGAGTGTCTTCAGGGTATGCTTTGACCTCCAGGACTGAAAATAAAAGGAACAGTTGTTAATGTCCAAATTGGATTAGTGTGATACAGTGCCCAGCCACAGGAAAGGGCCATGTATAGTGAGTTCTCTGTCTAAGACATCGCCTGATACTCCTGAGAAAGGCTCAGGTTGGGATAGGGGACTAAGAACACCTCTCTGAGATGCAGGCTTTGGGGAAGGAAGCAACCCCTGTCACATAGACATGAATCACTAAACAAAACACAAATTAAGGCTAGCAAGCCTGATACCCTCACAGCAATTGCAACAATAAAACCCCAGTTCAAATCAATGCCTGACAATACTGCCTCACCTCCCATACTAGGTATCTGGAAGACATGAATATATGTGAAATGATATTTACTTAGTGTTTACAGTTCTACATGTAATGTCAAGTTTCCAGTGGAAAGTTATGAGACATGCAAACAAACCACTCCCAACCTATGATTAATATATTTAATTGAAGTGTGGGCAAAAATGCACAGGTGAATACATAAATCCTACAAAAGAGAAAAAAGAGATCTAGGCATAGTAGTATACACTTACAACCTCAGCACTCAGGAGGCCAGGGCAAAATGATCCTGACTTTTAAAGGTCAGACTGAGCTACATACTGGGCTATCTATGATGTTATCTCAAAAACAAAAACTTTATTCAGCTAACTAGACAAACAAAAGGAAATCCTGGAAACAGAAGAAAACATAGCAGAAGGTGTGCAGAATGCTACAGCCGGTTCATCTGCAGATTTATGGCTAAAGACATGATAAGATTAAAGCCAGGTAATGGAAATCATGCACATCAAATGCACAGGAAGTGAGGTCAGTGGTTTAGAGAGATGAATAGCTAAGAGAAGGTGTCCTTGTGACCACTTTTGTCAGGCCCTGTGGCACTCACCCGAAGACAGGTGGCTTCCGCAACCCGCACAGTCTTGGAGATGGCCTGGAGGAGCCGCTGTGCATTGTCAACAAGGAGCTCTTCAGAGGACTTGCTTCTTTCCAGGGAGGCCTTTACACTGGGGGCGTTGGGGAAGAAAGACGTCTTTATCCCAGGAAAGGAGGCAATTGCCAATGAACAGCAGCGTTTACAATGGAAGCCTCATATAGGAAGCTGAGATACTTTGGTGGGAATACTCAGAGAAAGGGTGTGTGTGTGTGTGTGTGTGTGTGTGTGTGTGTGTGTGTGTGTGTGAGAGAGAGAGAGAGAGAGAGAGAGAGAGAGAGCAATGTAAAGTGTTTTCCTCAATTGTCACCCCACCCCCCCTCTTTTTGAGACAGTCTCTTGCTGAGCCTGGAACTTACAGGTGTGGCTATAGCAGCAAGGCCTGGAGAATCCCATCTTCACCCCCTCAGCCCTGGGGTTAGACCTATACACTACCACACTCAGCTCTAAGATGGGAATCAAACTCAGGTTCTCCTCATGCTCCTGCCAGGCAAGCATTTTACCAACCGAGTTGTCACCACAGTCCCGGGGAAAGATGATACTAGGGGCTTAATTTTGCATTTTTAAATGGAAAAATGTATTGTAATGCCAAGAATGTGTGAGCCACATAGCATCTATAATGAAGACAAAAAAAAGTTTGTTGTTAATGGAAATAACTGGATAGAGGTCACAGAGCAGATGCCAGCTGTCATTGGACTGAAAGAATCAATTCTGTACAGAACTGTATGCAGATTGGGTCTAGTGTTGGAGGGTCTGCCTTTTCTAGGGATCACCAATCGCCAGAAAGAGCAAATGACTTACCTGCAAACACTCCTTCCAGACTCAGAATGGTCAGTCCTCCACTGCTTAGCCTGCTTACTCGGCCATACCCATTCATTCCCACGAGAACCACAGTGAGTGCTTTTCCGTTTCCCCCTAGCTCCTTTTGTGAGTTGACACTGATAAGTTTTTTGTGTAGCCCTCCCTGCTTGGCACCATGCCTCTGGTGTCTAGGGGGTCACATTTTGATTATGAAACTGATTTGTTTGTGGTGGTCATTTTTATGTCTATATCTTAAATGGAAAGAAATATATTGGCAGCTAATCTTGAGATGGTCATGCATCTGAGATGGTATTTCCTGGAGAACAGTTGCCAAGTTTTATTATTATTTTTTAAAGATTTATTTTCATATTATGAGTGTTGTGCCTGCATGTATACACGTGTGTGCCTGGTGTCCATGAATGTCAGAAGAAGGCGCCAATCACCAGGAACTGGAGTTACAGTTCTGGGCCACTATATGGGAATCAAACCTTGGTCCTCTGGAAGAGCAGCTAGTTCTCTTCACCACTGAGCCATCCTACAAGTTGTTCTCTTGACTTCGCATGTGTTCCCTGGCATGCATGTGGATATGTTTACACTAAATAAATGAGTAAACAAATAAATATAAAATCACTCTAGTTGGGGATTGGAGGGAGCAGGGGAGGAGAGGAGGGAGAGAGAGTTGGGAGTAACATGTGTAAAAAGTTAAAGAATTAAAAAAAGAATTTAAAAAAACACTCCAGTTTGAGTAGTGTTATTTTTACTCGCATCATGAGAATGTAATGTAAGAATCTAGATACTGCATGAGTCCCTTGCTAACAGACTTCTTGGTGCTAGGGTCTAGCATCCCTTACTGAGGAAGTGAGTTTACATTAAAGTGGGTATTGGCACCACACATCCCTGCCCCTGCTGAGAATCAGCCTGGCTCCAGGCTTATGCTGTGAAGCCTCGTCTCCTTCAGAAAGGGTGTCAGTCACTTATGTCAAAGGCTAACTACACCTGAAGTGTTGTGAGCCCAGCAATGCCAAGGAGTAAGAGTCTGTGTTCTGAATGGGAGAGGGGCCAGTGTAACCGTAGGGGCTGGTGTAAACATATGCGTCCCCACTGCGTCTCACAAAAGCTTATCCATTCTCCCGAAGATTGCTTCCTACCTGGAGATGATGCTGAGCTGGCTGCTCAGGGTTTGAATCTGCTCCACCATACACAGAAGCTCCTGGGAGCATCTCTGATCTATGCAGTTCTTAGCAATGATTTGAATGAGTCTTGCGACATCCTTTCCGGAAGCTGAGATTTTTCTGGCAGAGGCAATGAGCTGATCTTTGGTCTATATCAGAGAAGGAAATGTTAGATTTAGGCAAACGCTGCCTTCACAGGTTTCCCCTGCAGCATCAGAGACAAATTATAATGCTTGCCCCAAGCTTTCTTGACTCAACTTATTTCTGCCCCTAGAAATGAGTATATTTTAGCTTAAGCCACCATCTCATGAGCCAACTCTCTTGAGTTAGAAAGAGCCTGTCCAAACAAGGTACAATCTTCTTCCTTCTGTGGGGGTTGCAGAAGGCCAGAAAACCTAGCTTCCTAGGCTCATGAACCCAGGCTGACCGCAAACATTACATAACTGAGGATGGCTTTGAACTCCTGATTGTCCTATCTCCAGCTTGAGAGTGCTGGGGTAACAAGCATGTACCAGTGTGCTGGCTTATGTGGCACTTGGGGTTAAATCTAGGCCTTGTGCATACTAGGTAAGGGCTCTACCAGATGAGCTCTACCAAATAACCCCAGTCCTAACTAGATATTTTCTGTCTTTTTTTTTCTATTTCACTCAAGAGCATAATACTTCGATTCTTTAAAAAAAATGATTGGCTGTTGTGGAATAATTCTCTTGTACACTGTAGAGATTTGTCACTTGAATTGGTTTAATAAAATGCTGATTGGTCAGTAGCCAGGCAGGAAGTATTGGCGGGGCTACCAGAGTAGGATGACAGGAAGGAGAAGGGCAGAGTCAGAGAATTGCCAGGCAGATGCATAGGGAGCAGGAGATGAATGTGCCATGCTAATAAAGGTACCTCCATGTGGCAGAGTGTAAATAAGGAATATGGGAATAAGCCTAAATTATTGGCCAGGCATTTATAATTCATATTCAGCCTCTGAGTCAGTTATTTGGGACCAGGCAATTGGGACAGGAAATGTCTGATTACAATTGGCATTTCTATCAGGATGTGTGATTGGGGAACTTGGGTGAATTGTGCGTAGCCACTTCCTACCAGAAGCAGACCCACTCTTAAAATGGTCCCTGGATTTTCCTTTCAAATGTGCATCTTTTCAGAAACACCAGGGGAGCCGGGCATTGGTGGCGCACACCTTTAATCCCAGCACTCGGGTGGCAGAGGCAGGTAGATCTCTGTGAGTTTCTAGCCAGCCTGGTCTACTGAGAGAGTTCCAGGACAGTCTCCAAAACAATACAGAGAAACCCTGCCTCGAAAAACAAAAAACAAAAAACAACAACAAAACAAAAAACCAGAAACCCAAGGGGTGCAGGGTTTGCACATCCCGGGGTGCTGAGCCACACACCACCGCAGACACCTGAGTTCTATTTAAATCAAAACACCTCATTTGGAAATACATTCCGGAAAGCCACACCTATTTTGGTGACCTTGGGGGTCACTGGTTCAATCAGATGTTGATTGGCTGGGGGAGCTGGAAGGAGGGACCCAATAATGAAAGGTTTGAGTCTTGGTGTGGTGAAGGCTCTGGGTTTATCCTTGTAGTCATGTCGCCAGGGGATGTCCTTCCCTTTTCTCCTGGACCCTCTGTCTTGCCCCAGGATAGGAAAGTCAGGTCCCCTGTGGCTCAGTCTTGCATTTTAGAGCCATCTGTACCCAGTAGGCCCACACTGGCAGTAATCCCTGGACCTGTAATCCCGACACTTGAGAAACTGATGTAGAAGGGTCCTGAGTTAAAGGCCTGATGGGTATTAAGACAGGGTCCCAAGAGTCCACTTTAAAAGATGCAGATAATGGGCTGCTGAGGTGGCTTCGGGGAAAGGGCCCTTGCTATGAAAGCTTTTTACTCCGAGCTTGAAAGCCACAAAGCCAGAAGGAACTGATGTCACAAAGGTGTCCTCTGACCTCCAAACACATGCCATGGCATATCCCTCCCTGTGTTATACACACACAGAGGAAAAGTGAAATTTAAAAGTTCAAAAGGCATAAATAACACTTTTGACTCATTGTTCTGGGGGATTTTTTTACTACATTGCAGATTTGACAAAATTGTCATCCCTGATATAATTGATAAAACCTCAGTAGCCAAGCCAGAAAGAGGAGAGGAGAGAAGTGAAGTGAATTTTACAGAGACTTGGTGCTGGTTGGATCTTCAGTGGGACCTTTCCTTCCAGCACTGTCTAGGGAGGCCAAGGCACCACTTCCCCACGTGGTGCCCAATCACCCATCACCATGACCACTGAAGACCAAGTACCAGGACTCGCCCTCTCTTCCTCAAGCTCTGAGCCATCAGGAGCACCTCCTTGGCCATCTCTTGTGTGATCTGGGTGATTCTGTTCCCACTGTCTGTACGGCTGTCCTCTGGAACAGTCTGGTCCATCTGAGCAGGAGGCAGAGAGGGGCTGCCACTCTGGTGTGAAAGGAGACACCTGGTTAGACATTTAAACCAACACAGTTCCTGACATTCAGGCCTCTAAACTTCAGTGAGGATGTTAAGTGTGTGTGTGTGTGTGTGTGTGTGTGTGTGTGTGTGTGTGTGTTTGCGTGCACATGTGGAGGCCAGTGTTCCTCAGGAGCTGTCTACTTCGTTTTTTGAATGGCATCTGCCATTGGGCTGGAGCTCCCTGGTCAGGCTATGCTAGCTGACTAGGGATTTGCCCATCTCTGCCTCCTCCATGCTGGGATTACAAGTGTGTAGCACATCTGCACACACAGGTTTTAAATCAGAGAATACAGTTTAAGTCCTCATGCTTGTTCAGTATTTCAGTTAGGGTTTCTATTGCTATGAAGAGACACCATGACCAGGGCAACTCTTATAAAGGAAAACATTTGAGGTGGCAGCTTACAGTTTCAGAGGTTCAGTCCAGGATCATCATGATGGGGGAGCATGGTGGCTGGGAGAATTGTGGCATGCTGGGAGACATGGTGCTGGAGAGGTAGCTGAGGTTTCTACATTTTGTGAAAGTCACAGGAAGTAGACTGAGACACTGGGTGTGGCTTGAGCATATAGGAGACCTCAAAGCCTGCCTCCATAGTGACATACTTCCCCCAACAAGGTCACACCTACTCCAACAAAGCCACACCTCCTAAGAGTGCCACTCCCTTTGAGGGCCATTTTCTCTCAGACCACCACAGGCAGTAAGTGCTTTATCAACTGAGCCCTCACCTCATCCCTTAATTGCTTCTAAATCATTTTTAAAGAAGGCACAAGAGAATCAGGCAGATTTCCTGAGTCTTCAAAGCCCTTGGCAACCTTCCAAATGTACTGTAAGTAAACAGCAAGGAGAAACACAATGATCTCCTATGAGTTTGTGCTCCATTTATCCAGAGACTGAAGCATGGCATCCTCAAATCTCAACCTAGTTTATTTCCTTTCTATGAGTGCTCAGGCTTTACAAGGGAGAAGAAAGAACATGTAGCCTTTTGCAGGGGACTTAGAGATAGCATTAAGCTGCTGACAGCCCACTTTTGTTGTTGTTTGTTTGTTTATTGTTTGTTTTTGTTAGAAGAAGGGGCTGGAGAGATGACTCAGCAGTTAAGAGCACTGGCTATTCTTCAAGGTGACCTAGGTTCAAATCCTAGCACCCCTTTGGTAGCCTACAACCATTTGTAATTTCAGTTCCAGGAGATCTGATGACCCTCTCTGGCCCCAGGGCACTGAATGTAGGTGGTGCACAGAAATACACACAGACAAAATACACACACACAAAATAAAAATAGAAATCAGGATATAGTGGTGTGTACACCTTTAATCTCAGCCTTAGGAGCCAAGATAGGCAGATTAAAGCTAACCTGGGCTACTTAGAGTTCCAGTCTAGCTAGATTGCACAGTGGGACCTTGTCTCAAAAGAAGGGGGAGAAGGGGAGAAGACACGAAGTGGGACACGGACAGGGGACCTGGGGGCAAATAGGATAATGGTTGGGAATGGGAATGAGAAAGATCCATTATTTACATGTGTAAATTGTCAAAGAATAAATAACATAGTTTTTTTTGAAAAAAGGAAATTCAAGATTCTTTGAATGTTTCAACTTGTATACACTCACACCCATCCTTCTATACCAAAGGCTTCACAGTTTTGCTGTGAATAACTTCCTCCTGTGGAAACAGCAGCCCTGACATCTGAAAAGTCTGTTGGACCTGACAGGAGGCTATGTGGTTTTTCTGGTGGATCTTTAGGGGAACCTTTCCTATGTTCTTTCTGACCCCCAAATCAAGATAAATTGTCATGCACTGGGAGTGACCCCAGTAACGAACTGTTGAGGGCATCCTTGGTTATCTCTTTGCCTCACTTCACCAGATATGCCTCAACTTCCAGAACTGTGAGCCAATTAAATTACTCTTCTTTACAAACCACCTCATCTGTAGTAGCCCTGTGGAGTGGGCTGGGACACTCAGCTAGTGAGTACTGATAAATCGCCTGTCTTTGTTGGTGTTTCTGTCTCGACTTTTTCAGTTAAAGCATCCTCACCTTCTGAAAATGTATGATGTCATCTGCTTCATCAATGGCCTGACTAGATCAAGATCAGGATGTCCCTATGTGCTGGGAGTGGAGGGCAGAGGCCTCTTCTAAAGAGGACCACTGGCAGACCGGTTGGGAGTTGGGAAGGCAAGAGTAGGTGAAAAGAAGGAAATTATGAAGAACTCACTGATCAAGAATTCAGCAGCAGAGACTGAAGACCATGGGGGATGGACATAATGGTCTAGAGCTCAGAGTGAGCGTGGCGGTGTGAAGGAGAATGGCCCCAGTTAGTGGGACTTTGGGGGAAGGGTGAGGAGGTATGGCCTTGCTGTGGGAGGTGTGTCACTAGGTTTCAAGACAGTGTGCTCTCTGCCTCCTACTTGCAGATCAAGACGTGAACTCTCCCCGCTTCTTGCCAAGGTGTCTTCACTCCCCCATCATGGACCTTAACACTGAAGCCATCAGACAAATTAAACGCCTGCTTTTTGAAGTTGACTTGGCCATGATGTTTTATCACAGCAATAAAAACCCCAATTGTTATGGTGAGGAACCGTAGGAAATGGCCTTTTTTAAAAAGATTTATTTATTTATCACATATACAGTGTTCTGCCTGTAGGCCAGAAGAGGGCACCGGATTGAATTGTAGATGGTTGGGAGCCACCATGTGGTTGCTGGGAATTGAACTCAGGACCCCTGGAAGAGCAGTCAGTGCTCTTAACCTCTGAGCCATCTCTCCAGCCCAGGAAATGGCCTTTTTAACACCTACCAGATACTTTAAGTGTCCAAATCTAGAAATGACTCCTAGCTTTTCAACGTGGGCCAAGGATTGTGCGTGAGACTCCAGACCTGGAGTAAAGCACTTCCCACGGGTGTCCTTTCACAGACAAGAGTGGGGATGGAGCTTAGAGAGTGTGCTGTGGTCTTGTTCTCAGAGCCTTCTGATTTGGGTGTCCAGTGTCACCCTGCCCCGCCACCCTGCCTTGCAGCTATGGGAAATACTTCTGCTGCACTGACAGAAACAGAAGGCAAGTCAGTGAGTGGGTGGCGTCAGGTGGTGCTGACTACTACAGAGAGCCCGAGAAGGGGGAGAGAGTCTGAAAGCCACTTGGATTTATAAAACTGAGAGATGAGCAGGCAGACTAGAGCATTGGGGAATGGTGTCTGTTATTCTCCCCATTACTTTGGTCACAGGGTCCCCTTTCTCGGAAGTGACATTTTGATGAGAAAAGAAGTGACGCTAATAAGGGCAGGGATAAAAGCGTGCTGTGGTGTAGTCAGTTTTATCTTGGGAAAATCCCTAGGGAGTTTGGGAGATTCTGATCAGCCACCCATAAGGTTGCCAAGGGATGTATGAGGTGACTCATCTATCAAATCCTGGGTTGTCAGAACATGGTCCAAGAGTGCAATCATGCAAGGGACATTCTGAGTGCTCGGGAGAGAATCCAAGAAAGCAAGAGTCTTGTGACCTCAGTTTCTTCAAAACCACAGACTTTTTTTAGGGGAAGTGCAGTTGTTGTGCTCCTCCCAGGTATAGTAGATAGGAGTGAGTTTACTTCAGATTATTCATTACAACTTGTTATCGTTTATATGCTTCTATGGAAAAATGAATTTCGCCTCGTGCAGCTTCTCCTCATGATTGCATACAGCTTGACTGACGGGAACTTTACTCATGTGACCTTTCTTAACCCTCAGAGTATAAATTGTCTGAGGCTCTAAGTGAAGTTGACTATGGAATGAGACTTTAGTCGGCCTCATTTTCAGACTCCACTTGCCCAGATCCATCCGCCCCTAGAGCTACAAACACTGGATGACATGTATCTGAGGGAGACCACCAGAGTCCTGCCAAGCTGTATTCTATTTCCTACTGACTTTGGCTCTGTTCAGTAGAAATACACACAGTCTTTCAGATCCTTAATGCCTAAGTGTTCTGTCTTGCTCTAAAAGGAAGCAGATATGCAAGAGAAGTATTTAACAGACCTAGCATCTTTCTAATAAACCCATTTCCTCTCTACTACAATGATTCTAGTCATATTGTTGTCACTTCAGAGCAGGGAGGTGACATCCTAGGAGGTCAGAGTGGCTGAAGCAGCCTGAGTACTGGCAGTCACAGAAAAGTTCAGTTAAAGTGATAAGGAAAAGCTTCACAAAAGCCAATGAAAAGCACAGGTGCTTCAGTTCTAGGATACATACCAGATGCTAACGGAAGGGAAGTGTGTTTGTAGGGATTCATTCACTAGCCCTCTATAGGACTAGAATGCTGGAGTCTAAATGCTGAGACCGCTTTGTGATTTTGCTAAGGGCATGGCAGAGGTAGCTGCAGGCTAGGGAATCAAACCCAAGCTTAGGCTTCTAGAGGCTGCCCATGCTGTCTGCCTTGTGTGAATTATACATGTGGTGTGGGCATCCAGTCTCTGGAATGTGCAAGAGTCTTTAGTTACTAGGAAACAGGTCCAGGTGAGGTAGATGAAAGATGCCAAGCAGCCTACCATGCTCATGTCTACTGTGATGGTCCTGGTGGTGGCTTGCTCATCAGCACAGGTCCCCATTGAGCTCCGGGGGGTGCCTTTGGGAACAGCACCCTGAGAATCCACACTGGCCCCCGCAGTGGTTCCTGTTGCACCCTCTTTACAGTGAGGCTGCAGCTGGTCAGGATCCTCTCCTAGGGCCTTTGCTGGCTCCTCCCTGGGTTTCAAGCATTGAACCAGGAGTCTCCAGGCCTCAGTGTGACTACCTTTCAAGGCCTGGAGCTGAGTCACTGCATGGTGGACCTTGGCCGCCCATTCCCACCGAAGCCAGTTCAACATATGCAACCCCTGCTGCTCTGGGTGTTCTTGGAGTATGCGGACCCTCTTGGCCACCTCCTTAGTGAGCATGAGAATGTTCTCTAGAGACACAAGAAGTTTTTCCTGGAAGGGTCCAGACTGTTGACCTCCTGCTATGATTCCCTGCACAGCTTGGATAACAGACAGCATCCTTGTCGGGGAGCTCTTGTCGACAACATCTTGGAACATGTCCTCATAGACAGTGTTGATGCTGCTCAGGTAGTCAGTCAGGGCCTTGACTCGAAGGCTGAGTTCCAAGCAGAGAAGCTCAAAGCGTGTGGAGAGGCTGGGACAAGGCTTGTGGGTGGAGACCAAGATGTGTGCCACCTCCAGCAAGGCGGCTGTGAGTATCTGAACTTCCCCACCCAAAAATGAGACCTCACCCTTTACCTGCTCATCCCCACACAGAACACTAGACAGCTTGGCAGCCTCTTGTAACCTCTGAGAAACATCTGCTGCCTGATCTACGCCTTCCTGCAATCCCTGCTGGTTCTTCACTGCCTGTTGCAGGGGAAGTAGGAACAGCCCTTGTCTCCTACTGAGTCTGTCCATACACTGCATCAGGTCCTGGACAGCCACTGCCCATAGAAGGCATTCATTGTTAATATTCTCTTCCCTCGACTTGGGGGCTTGGAGACCATCAGAGGACAGAGCGTGGTCCAACAGCTGTTTAGCATGGATCTCTGTTTTTTCCAACAAGCCTTGCAGCTCTAAAAGCATTCCTGGGTTCTCCATTGGGTCAGGGCTCTTCTCTTTTGAATTCACAGGGCCACTTTTGGCTGCTACTTGAACCATTGAGGCCAAATTCTGCCGAAGTTCCACAAACGTTGCCATGCTCCCTGGTAACTCCACCATTAGGCTATGACAAAATAGTTGTTGGCACAGAGGGTACCAGTCACCGGCCCTGGCTACCAGAGCCTGCCTGGCTTCCCTGGTCCTCCCAGATTGCTGAAAAGCCATTCCTAGGAGCCTGCCACTTCTAGTGTTTGTGCTATGGACTTCCTCCCTGGCTAGGTCAGTAATCAAAGGCACCACTGTTGAGAATTCCTGCAGTCTTGTCATCCTCCCTGGTCGCAGGGCTTCTTCCCCAGCCTGGATTTCTTGGGCTGTATTCACAGTAGACTCCTGCTCTAGTATGTTGGTGTGTGGTGAGGTCACTACTTGGTGATCCCGGTCCTCCATAGCAGTGATGACTTTGCTGGCAGCAAGGAATGGAGAGCCCCACCCCTGTTTGCAGGTGTCAGGGACCACTTTGTAGGAAAGTTGTTCTACTGGTAGGAAAGAGGTATTTGTGCCACTTGCCCCTAAGCCAGGTACCTGCTGGTGTTTCATTACGGGAGCTGTGTGATGCTGGAGGCTGGGGAGAGTAAAATAAGGCCATTCCTTGGCAATGTCAAACCTTTGGACTTGGAATCGAAGTGGACTGAGGATGTCTGGGTGGTTGGCCCCATTCAGGCCCTCGTGGACTTGCTGAGCTGAATAGATGAGATGTTTTGCCATGGTTAAGAAGGAACCCGTGTCCTGAGTGCTGTCCCCAGCTGTGCTGCCTTCAGTGGCTGCAGCCAGCGTCAAGGAAGACCGCGCCAGCTGCTGAACCACGACTCTCATTCCGTTTCGGAAAATGGGATCTGGGTCTTGACCCACATACCTGCTCATCACCTGCACTATGTGTGTGGCTCTTCCACGTAAGAATGCCACAGATCCAGAGAACTCTCTGGAAGCTCCACTCCTTAGATCCCTTGTGTACAAGTCCAAGTGGTTAGTCATTTCCTGGATGGACAAATTCAAGAATTCGGGAATATCGAGAACCACATCAAAGCATGCCAAGAGGTGTTGGGATTCCCTGGCCCAGGCCTCAAGCAGAGCCTGCAGGGTGGCAGGACTCCAATCCAGGCCATGTGTTTGGGGACACTGTGAAAAGAGTTCCTTTGCTTTGACCACAAGTCCCCAAAGACCTGCCACAGCAGCCTCCATGTCTCTGCCATTTTGCTGTTGGGGGCAGAAGACCCAGACCAAGTGTGCCACTCGAATCATTTGCTTGGCTTGGTTGTGGAAAGCATCAAGCGGAAGCCGGAGAGTCTCAGCCAAGGCTTCCCTATTGCACCCGGGCCTGAGGGTGGAAGTCTCCAAGGTGGCCTGGACCAGCCTCTCTAGAGGACTTTGGGTATCTGTGAACGTATCCAGAATCTGGCGCAGTAATCCAGCGCGGACTTCCCGGCAGAGTGCGTCTGTCGCAGCCCTCAGAGCTATGCATTCTGTCCCTGGGCTGGTCTGGGGAGGCCGGTGCACTCGGAACTGCAGCAGCTGGCGGCAATGGGACACTAGGTGCATCCTCTCCCGTGGCGCGGAGCAGGCGGCTAGGCGCAGGCAATGCCACACCACGGCGGCCAGTGGCGTGTCGAGCAGCCCATCACGCAGGTGGCTTGGCCCGGGCTCCTCCAGAACCTGTCGCAGCTTCTGCAGACAACGCGCCAGTGCGCCATTCTGAGAGCGAACACCCGGCCCTGAGACTCCGGGCTGCAGCACAGCCAGGAGCTCTCTGAGGCTCTGTCTGGTCAAAGCAAAGATGCAGCGCCGTGAGACCACCACCTGCGGGTCGCATGGGTGCCGGAGGTGGCCGCGGGCGGCCGCGAGCAGCGCTGGGATGTAGCACCCTAGCTGGTGGCGAACTCGACCCAGGCATTCATCCGGGGCCCAGCGCATGGTCAGGCTGCCCAGTTGCAGCAGCGCAGCCGCCAGGTCAGCGATCGAGGTGCGCAGGGAAGTGGCGTCCTCCGCCGCCTCCAAAGCCTCCAGGCACGTCAGACACCAACCAGCTGCTGCCACGGTCTTCCTCGCCCTTGCTGCGTCTTCAAGGAGCAGGACCTGCTGGGGCGGTCACAGGAAAGAAACTTGAAGATGACTGAACATTCTTGGAGTCATGTAGCTTAAGCCTAGGAGACCTTATATTGTCAGTATCTGACTGTAACCAACTACAGGCATCATCTAGGTGACTGGACCTGAGAATGCACAGGCCAGTTTGGGAGTTTGTGGTGTGTGCATTTCTTTGTAAAGCAGAGCTCTGAAGCAGTTGCCTTCTCTCCATATTCACTGTGGGGTCTACCCTGAACTGTTCAAAGATGTGTTGTTATTTAGATGACAATGATGGGCTAGAGGGCTTCTCTGAGACAGCTTTTCTAGCCTGTCTCCTCCCCCTGCCCCCCAGCTCCATCCAATCCCTAATCCCGAGGCTGGTATCCGAGCCAAAAGCCTTTCCACCACCAGCAGGCGCCCTAACCCCTCTGGTTCTGCCTCTCACTCTCCCTACCCCATTGCAGTTACTCTCCGATGAGGCCTGTGCAAATACCTGTCAGCAAACCACACAACGAACAACAGCAAAATGTTTCGGGGATATGTATTTGAACCAGGAGCAATATCCCGATCTAAAAGTTGTGCACAGGAGCTGGAGAGATAGCTCCATAGTTAAGAGCTCTGGCTGCTCTACCGGAGGACCTGGGTTTGGTTCCCAGCATCCACAAGGGGGCACACTTGTCTGTAACTCCAACGCTAGGGTATCCTCTGCCCTCCTCTGCCCCCATCTGCCTCCCTCGGGCATTTTACAGATGTAGTACATAGACACACAAGGAGGCAAATACTCATACACATAAAACACAAGGAAATAAAATCTCCAAAATAAATTTAAGTTGTATTTAGCAAGGAATGTGTGTCAGGGTGAAAATCTGAGAGTATTTGGAAACCAAGGGCTTGTACCTGCTCCTATTACAACTTCAATTAAGCCCTGATTAAATCGATAATGAATTCTGTCTGGGATCTTGGCAAGCACTTGGGTAGGTTTCAAATTAAGAGACACTGAGGAAGGAGCTGTGGGAACTGCATGACCATGTGTATTCTCCAGCAATGTCCAATCAGCCAGCCAACTCTGAGGGAGCCTCACCTTGGTAGTGCCCACCAGGATCTGTTGAGAGGTGGCCACTAGCTCTTCCCAGTGGCGCTGGCACTCCGGCTGCAGGGGGAGCTTCTGGGTTACCATCAGGATGTTCTTCCCAGACAGCGTCAAAGACTCAACCACTGGCTGCATTTCCTCCCTAAGCCACTCCTCAGAGTCTCCCGCCAGCCTGAAAAGACACAGTGTACTTGCAATGTTATAGCATTAGAACCAAAGAATCCCGGAAGACAAGGGTACACAGAAGGTACAGAGGCATTAAAGTGAACCTTGACGACTGTGCTTATGGGCTTCTCCCCAGAACAGAATGCTGTGTTTAAAAAAAAAATCGGGCTGGAGAAATGGCTCAGAGGTTAAGAGCCATTTCTGATCTTCCACAGGTCCTGAGTTCAGAGGTCCCTGAGTTCAATTCCCAACAATCACATAGTGGTTCACAACCATCTACAGAAGGATCTGGTGCCCTCTTCTGGCCTGCAGTTATATATGCAGGCAGAACACTATACATTATAAATTATTTTTAAAAAGTTAAAATTTCTCTTCATACTTTCTTAAGGTGTTTTAGTTTGTGAATTAGAGTTGTTGCCTCAATATATTTCTCAACCTTCACAAATGTCATGTGGTTAGGCTAAACAGATTAATGACAGACATCTGGGTAGAGAATTCTGGGTCTCAGGTTTTTCTTCCCAACAGCCTGTATACAATGCCCCAGCATCTGCTGGCCTCCGGAGTTTCAGGTAAGAAATCTGAGGCCACTTTATCTTAGCTATTAGAAATAAGATAAAATCGCCATGCTGGGCATGATGGCACACAGCTATATTCCCAGCTATTTGGGAGGCAGAGCAGGAGGATTACAAGTTCACGGCATGTGTGGGCCAGCCTGGACAACTTACAAAGAACTTGTTTTAAAACTTGAAATAAAAAGGTTGGTGATCTAACTCGGTAATGCAGCATTTGTCCAGAGGTGCCAGATTCTAAGTTCAATCCCTGGGGACACAAACCTAAAAAGAAAGAACACTGTCGTGTATATTCAGACACAAGATTCCATTTCCCTTGGATAAATGCCCAGTTGTGATATCACACCTGATATATCACCACACCTAATAACAACAGGGATGCATTTAACTTTTAGAGAATATTTTCTAAAGTAGTTGCAACATACTGTGTTCTAATCAGCAATGAGAGAATTTAGTTCCCACACACTCTCACAAGCATTTGAAATAGCTCTTCATTTTAAACATGCCAAGAGTTGGCAGTCATCATTAAATAGGTAAAACATACTCCAGACTTCCCATGAAGATTAAATGAACCTTCTGCAGAGTGCTTGGATGCAAGTTTAGATCCTTGGCATTATACACCAGTCCCTTCCCTTTGGGGATGAACCTGCCTGTGAGGATGATCGCTATAAAGGATGAAGAACAGTCTAGATTAGCATCCTTCTTAACCTAAAGGATGCTGTCTTGCAGCTGATAATGGACAGGAGAGCATGGAGCTACCAAAAGAATTCATTACTCTCAGAAGACATCTCTTGCTGATCTAGACTTCTGAGTACATAGGGAATGTAAAAACCAGGGGCTGAGGAGGTGGTTCCCTGGGTATAGTGCTTGCTGTTCAAGCATAAGAGCCCAAGTTCAGATCCCAGGACCCACACAAATGTTGGTGGGGTCTGGAAGTCTACCAGTAGTCAAAGGGCTTAGGAGACAGAGACAGGGCCTTTCTGGAACAAGCTGGCTTGCAAATGTATATTTATGCATGCATACTCCACACAATGCACATGCAAGAAAGGGAGAGTAGGGAGAAAATGTGGAAGCATTTGGAAGCTTCAGGATGTCTTTACAAGATCAATCATATCATAGCTCTCACCAGGCAAGTCAAATGCTGTTGATACTTCCGTTCCTGACGCAGACTTCCACCAAGGTCACACAGTATTTCTACAGCATCAAACTAGAAGCCGTTTCTCCAGGCCCAAGTCTGAGTTTTTAATGCTCTGTGCATGGGTTTGTGGTGGTTTGAATGAGGTGTCTCCTGTAGGCTCAGGTATTTGCAATCCTACTCCCTCATTGGTGGCCCTGTTAGGGGAGGGGCAGCCTTGCTAGAGGAAGTGCATCCGGGGAGGCTGGCTTTGAGTCTCATCCCACCTCAGTTTGATCTCAGTTTGTTGTTAAAGACGGGAGTTCTCAGGTTCCTGCTCAGGCTGCCTGCTGGCATGCCTCCCCAATTTTGTCGTTTAGGCAATTCCTCTAAAAACACACCTGAAATAAACCCTTTCTTCTTTAAGTTGCAGCAAAGCAACCAATACAGGATTTCACTCTATCAATGCTCAGATATTACTATTAACTCACTCTGGGTTGTTGCAAGTGGTTTTGTTGTGGATTCACTCACTCCACTATTTGCTACTTTGTGTCCTTTAAGCAAAATGTCCACTGTGTATCTGTCATTAGCTTTATGGGATATATGGATTATGATTCTCCGTGGAGATGTAACAGCGTAATTCTAGACAAATCTTCACTAGAAATCTACTCAGATAGTCAATGACTGGACACTTACAACTGTGACAGGAGCTCAGAAATTGTCACACACCCCTTAAAATAATGAAAAACCCATATTATTTCTACATATGTTTAAAATGATTATTTCCAGGTCAGGCATGTGGTATATGCCTTTATTCTCAGCACTGGGGAGCCCAAGACAGATGGGTCTCTGAGAGTTTCAGGCCAGCCTGGATTATACAGTATATGCCAATCACACTACATAGGGACACTCTCTCAAAAGTTAAAAAAAATGAAAAAGAATTATTTTCCAGAAAGTTTATAAGCAGAGTGCAAGTTGCTACTATTCAGTCATACTATATGTAAAAATATAAACACTATTTTCACTGTGTCACCAAAGTACTTAGGTTTCAGAAATCTGAGTCACCAAGTGACCATGTGAGATAGACAATGTTTAACAAATGAAGCACATTGAGGAGAGAGCTGACACTAGTGAGATCTCCAGAGATCTACAAGATAACACCAACTGGCAAACTAAGCAATAGTAGAAAGACTACATTAATAGTCCATCCTTGATGGTAGGGTTGATGACTACCCTATATGCCATCCTAGAACCTTCATCCAGGGACTGATGGAAGCAGAGACAGATACCCACAGCTAAACACTGAACTGAACTCCTAGAACCTAGTGACAGAGATGGAGGAGTGATGAGCAAAGGGGTAAAGGCCATGATGGTGAAACCCACAAAGACAGCTGACAGGATAAGCGGGAGCTCTTTAATCCCAGATTGATGGCTGAGAGGCCAACAGGGGACTAATCCAGACTCCATGAATGTAGTGCCAGGGAGGAGGCCACAGAAATCTCGGGGGCCTTGGGTAGTAGATCAGTGTTTACCATGGTGTATGAATGATCTTTGGGAGCCCATTCCAAATAGAGGGATGCTCTCTCAGCCTGGACACATGGGGAAGGGCCTAGGTCCTGCCCTGGATGAAATGACAGACTTTGGAGATCCCCCCTAAGGAGGGCCTCACCCTCCCTGGAGAATGATTTGGGGATTGGGTGGGGGGCTGGGAGGGCTGGTAGAGGGACAAGGGAGAAGGGGTGGGAGAGGGAACTGGGATTGACATGTGAAGCATTTATGTTTCTAATTGAAATAAAAACATATATTGAGGGAAAAAATGAAGCACAGTGTGTAGTTTTTAGTTTAACTGACTCTTGGCAAGACAGGGGACAAGAATTTCACAAGGGAAAAATAACAATAATAACATTTGTTTATTTATTACGAAACTAAATTTAGATCTAATTGCTACATAGGTTTACAGTAAACACTGAATCACCATTGAGAAATGTAAGCAAGGCCATTGATACTTAATCTGATGTGTTAACAAGAGTCCAAGGTGTGTTATACACATGGCTTCCATTTTTGGTTTTCTTCTTTTAGACTTTGCAGTGGTTTGAATGAGATGGACCTGCAAAGGTTTATATATTAGAATGCTTAGTCACCAGGGTATGGGAAAGTGTGGCCTTCTTGGAGTAGGTGTGGCCTTGTTGGAGAAAGTGTGTCACTGGGAGCAGGCTTTGAGCCAGAATGAATATAGCTTATCAGTGTAGACTGCTTTACGTCATGCACCTGCACAAACATGCATGTGTCCCTACAGGTATACCATGTACATGGATAGGAACAGGTTTTAAAAACATCTTAACTTAAGCTACTCTACAAAGTATTGGTGTCATTGGAACTCATCCCTTCTCTCTCTGCTCTCATAATGATCCTTTTTCCTCCCTGCTCTTCTGGTGCTCCAAACACTCCTCCGTTCTGCCTTCATGTCATGTATACTCCACTACCTTTTTTCTTTCTCTCCTCCTCCCCATTTCATGATTCCCTTTCTAGTTTCACAGCTTGCAGGCCTTCACACATGTGCACACACACACACACACACACACACACACACTTTTAGGTCTAAGTGAAAGAAGGCATAGTGTTTATCTTTCTGAGTCTGGCTTGTTTCTTTTTACATAGTGACTACCAGTATATTCCATTGCCATGTAAATGTCACAATTTCTTTGTGGCTGAATGAAATGTAATTTTATTGTATACATGTTTCATATTTTCTTGTATGAATATGAATGTGTTTCCTATTTTCTTCATCCATTCATCTTACTATATTATTTAAAGACTTAATTTATGTATATGTATATGTATATGTATATATATGTATGTATATGTATATATGTATGTATATATATGTATATGTATATCTGTGTGCAAGTGAGTGCAGTGCCTAGAGAGACTAAGTACTGGATTCCCTGGAACTAAAGTTACAGGTGGTTGTGAAGCACCTCACATGGGTGCTGGAAGTCAAACGCAGTCTTCTGCAAGAGCAGAACTCCCTCTTAACTGCCGAGCCATCTCTCTAGCCCTCTACAGAGATGCTTTTACAAGAGTTTTTAAAAAGGGAAAGTGGAGTGATGGGGAGGGAAAAATTAGGAAGAGAAAGAAAAATATCTGGGATATGGGTGTGCTCAAATACTCAGAATGACTGTCTCTAGGTAATACTTTTGTGGGTAATGTTTTTTCTTTCTTTGCTCTTTCATATTTCCTCAATGTTCACCATGAGCTATGTTTCTAAGCAAGAGGAAACAGCCCTGCGCTGGCCTCTTCTCACCTGCACACCCCGACAGACAGCACTGAGGGAGCAGGTTCTGGTCCCCTGAGAGCCTGCCCAGCAGAGGAAGACAGGAACCTGCCAACCCAGCACTTAGTGGGGGTGCTTCTTGCCTCCATTTGGCCTTCTCGGAACTGCTCAGGAATGGTGGAGCCAAACTCAAGTGCAAGTGTTCATTATTATGACTCTGTTAGGATAAGAAGAGCTGGACCATTTCCCATGGTCATGAACACTGATAATTCTCTGTATAAATAATTTATCTTGCCAGGAACAAACAATAAGCAAAGACATTTGTATTGCACTGAACACAAACAACATTCAGCCTCTCTCAAAACTTACTGCTCTTTTTGTGATTTAAAAAAAATGTATTGGCTAGGCTGGAGGGATGGCTCAGCCATTAAAGGCTAGGCTCATAACCAAAAAAAAAAAAAAAGGCATTGTCAGAAATTCAGAATTTATGAGAAAGTATTAAATCAGTATAAAATCACTTAACAGATTTCTACAAAATTTATTTTATGCATGTGTGTGAATGTTATTACACAGGTTCTGGGATCTGAACTTGGGTTCATGATTAAGCATCAAGCACTCTTAAGTGCTAAGCCATCTCTCCAGCTCCTATACACAATTTATATCAAATATTTTACATTATTTCTCATTATAGTTTTTCATTTTACCTAACTGGAGTCACATGACCTTTAGGCCCTGCCCCAATTCCATAGCTGAGGTGGCCAATCTTGGTTGTCAACTAACACACCTGGGAAGACGGACCTGCACTGAAGAATTGCCTTCATCAGATTGTCCATGTCTATGTTTATGGAGGCATTTTCTTTATTGATAATTGATATAGTTGGGCCCAGACTACTGAGGTGGTGCCAATCATGGGCAGGTGGGCCTGGGCCATCTAAGAAATGTAGCTGAGCCAAGGGAGCAGCCCTCTTGGGCGTCACTCCATGGTTTGTACTTTAGCTCCTGCCTCCTAGTTCCTCCCTTGAGTTTCCCTTGATGATGAACTATAACTTTGTTAACACAAGTCAACACTTTCCTCTTCCAAGGTGCTATTGGTCAGGGTTTTATCACAGCAACAGAGAAGCCAACTAAACAATCCACATCCATTCTTTCTTTCTTTCTTTCTTTCTTTCTTTACTTGGTTTTACGAGACAGGGTTTCTCTGTATTGTTTTGGAGGCTGTCGGTCCAGCCTGGCCTCGAACTCACAGAGATCCGCCTGCCTCTGCCTCCTGAGTGCTGGGATTAAAGGCGTGTGCCACCACCGCCCGGCTTTCCACATTCATTCTTAATGCTAATTTACTTCTTACATGCCTTTTTTTCCCAGAAAACATTTATTTTTTGAGACACAGTGTAATGTAGCTCTCAGCCTGGATTCAAATTGGCTATGTAGCTGTGGTGGTTTGAATAAGAATGGCCCCCGTGGGCTTGTGCTTTTGAAAGCACAGTCACCAGGGAACTGACACTATTTGAAGAGATTAGAAGGATTAGAAGGGTTGGAGAAAGAGTCACTGGGGTAGGCTCTGAGGTTTCAAAGAGTCCATTCCACGCTCAGTCTCTCTCTCTCTCTCTCTCTCTCTCTCTCTCTCTCTCTCTCTCTCTCTCTCTCTCTCTCTTTCTCTGTCTCTCTCTGTCTGTCTGCCCCCCCCCATGAATCAGGATGCAGAACTCTCAGCTACTTCTCCAGCGTCATGTCTACCTACATGTTGCCATGCTTCTCACACAATGATAATGGACTAAACCTTTGAAACTGTAAGCAAGCCCACAATTAAATGCTTTCTTTTATAAGAGTTATCTTGGTCATCATGTCTCTTTACAACTATAGAATAGTGACTAAGTCAGTAGCCATGGAAAACCATGAACTTCTGGTCCTCCACACTCTACCACCTGAGCTCTGGGATTATAGGTGCATACCACCACATCCAATTTATGCAGTGCTGGGATGCAACCCAGAGCTTCTTGTATGCTAGCAGGTATGAGCTACATTCACCAGCCCCCAAAGCGTTAAAGACTATAATCAGAATCTACTTATGTGTTTCTTTGTCTGCCAATCTGTCAGGGTAATGGGCTTAAGTTCCTTGGAGATATTACCTGCTGGCAACATGCACAAACTCCTCACTAGCATTGGCCAGGTCCTCTGCCACCTTCTGCACGGAGGCAAGTGCTTCTTTCTGTACGTCTTTCCTCTCCAATGAGATGAGCAGATGACAAAGCTGGATAGTCATTGGTGTAATGATTTGTTCCATGGTCCTATTCTGTATCATAGGGTCAAAGTCATCCCAGAAGAATGAGTCCATCTCCATGGGTCTGTGAACAGAAATTATGACACCATTAGCTCAGGCTTGTTGACATATGAAAGTATTTCTCTTGATTCAATGTTCACCTAGTTTTGAATTTATAAAGGGAAAATCTATAAAATATTAAAGGGATACTTGGGTTTATCCTAAAGACCTTACACATACAGAATAGATCTCAGATTAGCAGAAACATATGAAGGGGGGAGGGGGCAAAGTCACAATAAGTCAGGTCCTGAAGAAGACAACAGAATAAATAGTAGACTCACAAGACCCAAAAGAGGCACAGTTAATGGTTAATGACAACTCAATGCTGGAATTTGTTTTGGAATATTACATTTGTTTATGCTGCAGAATATTAGTTTAACTATGTGAAGGACTGTTACATTGGTTTCTGCTGCCTTTGTTAACAATGTGAAGATTTGTTACGTTTGGTTAGGCTGCAATTGTTTAATTATGTAAAAATGTGCTGCAATTGTTTCACCCTGCCTGCCTAAAGGCACCTGAAAGGTCTAATAAAAAGCTGAATGGCCAGTAGTTAGACAGTAGAGAGATAGACAGGACTGGTGAGCAGAGAGAATAAGTAGGAGGAGAAATGTAGCCTAAGGAAGAACAAGAGAAGAAGAGAGGAGAGAACGAGGGAAATTCCTGGGGCCAGCCAGCCAGCTGCCAGCCCACATAGCCATCCACAGAGAACTAGCAAGAGGCTAGAAAGTGCAAACTTTTCCTTACCTTAGTGGGAAGACTGCACTCTCCACACAAATGAGATAACCAGTTTCACTTTTCCTTCAGAAACAGCCACAGGAAGCAACCAAGGTTTGCACATAGCTCCAAACTATAGGATCCCCCAGCTTCTGTTACCTGACCCTGCCCCTGACGCCATAGACAGTATCATGAACAAGCAGCAACATAACTTATGCATGGCATTGTGGCAGGGCCACTGCTCTGTTTCAGCGATAAGAACTGCATGAGAGTCTGCAAAGACAGCTATCTTAATCACAATAGGGCTCAACTATAGGTCTGAAACAGTTGTATTGTGTGAACTGAAAAGGGACTATGCTCCAGATGCTTGGCAGTCAGAGACTGAATTGCTGAACTTCTTATTTCTAACCCCTTATAGGTTGACTTTCATATAAATTGGTTGTTGAACAGATACCAGGCTGCTGTTTCTTGAGAACTAAAAGAAGCTAAGGTTTAAATTAGAGAAAGAATACATTGAAATGTGTATTAGGCATGTGTGTGTGTCCTGAACATCATCCCACAAAGCAATTTCATAATTTAAATCTTTCTCTGTCTCACTATGGATACTGGGTTGTCCTAGACACAGTACTAGAATTACAACCACACTCTGTCTCCAGTTTTGTCTTAAAGAGACAGGACTTCGATCTAAAAATACGATAGCAGGGCTAGATAGATGACTCAGCAATTAAGAAGACCTGTTGCTCTTTTAGAAGACCCAAGTTCAGTTTCCAGCACCCACATGGTAGCTCATAATCATCTGTAACTCCAGTTAGTAAAGTGCTTGCTGTCCCAGCATGGAGACCCTAGTTAGGATCCTCATCACTCATGAAAAGCCAGGGATAGGGGCTGGGCAGGTAGTTCAGTAGTTAAAAGAACTTGTTACTATTTTTTTTATTGTTTTTGTTCTTTTGTTTTGTTTTGTTTGTTTTGTTTTGTTTTTTGAGACAGGGTTTCTCTGTATTGTTTTGGAGGCTGTCCTAAAACTCGCTCAGTAAACCATGCTGGTCTCGAACTCACAGAGATCCGCCCCTCTCTGCTCCCCGAGTGCTGGGATTAAAGGTGTGTGCCACCAAGGCCCGGTATCAACTTGTTACTCTTATAGATGATCTAACGTCAGTTCCTAGCACACAAATGATGGCTGGAAACCTTCGTAGCCTCAGTTCTAGAGGATATAGTGCCCTCTTTTGGCCTCCACGTGGAACTGCATGCATGTGGTGCACATACACACATGCAGACAAAATACTAGGCAGATTTTTCTTTGGACCACCAGCTCACAAAAAAATATGGAGATGTATTATTAATTATGAAAGCTCAGCCTATACTTCAGACTTGGCCCACTAGTTCTTAAAGCTTAAATTAACCCATTTCTATTCATCTACATGTGACTCGTGGCTTTTACCTCTTATCCTGCATGTCTTGCTCCCTCTCCACCAGGCTGTTGACTCTGCCTTTTTGATTCCCTGAGACTTCTCTGCCCTCAGAAGTCCTGCCTAACTTCTTCCTATCTAGCTACTGGCCATTCAGCTCTTTATTAAAGCAATCATAGCTTATTCTGCAATAAAACTCTTACACACATAAAATAAATCTAAAAACCAAAAAGCTGGATGCAGTAGTGCATTTGTAACCTTGGCACTGGGAGGATGGAGTTAGATAGACTCTTGTCGTTCACTGGTCAGCCAAATCAATGAGCTCCAGGTTCAATAAGAGTCCCTGACTCAAAAAACAATTAGCTGGCAAGTGTTTGAAAACACCCAATGCTGACCTCTGCCCTCCATATTTGAATGTATGCATATGTATCCCTCCTATGAACACATACAGACACATGATGTAATAGCTGAAAGTTAAATGATGAGAAAATATATTCTCTACAAGAAATAATCAGCCGGGCGTTGGTGGCACACGCCTTTAATCCCAGCACTCGGGAGGCAGAGGCAGGCGGATCTCTGTGAGTTTGAGGCCAGCCTGATCTACAGAGTAAATTTCAAGACAGCCTCCAAGACAATACAGAGAAACCCTGTCTTGAAAAACCAAAAAAAAAAAAAAAAAAGAAAGAAAGAAAATAAGGAAGGAAGAAATAATCAGTGGTAGGGTGTTGTATTGGTTAGCTTGCTGTTTCTCTCAAACTTATGCCCACTAGGAACCTGTGCAAGCAATCTTATTTAAAGATGGGCAATTTATTTATCTATTTCTGATGATTTCTGATGATGTAGCCAGGTTAAGAGGCGGTCCTCTCAGAGCGAACCCAATGCAGTGACTGCCAGCTTCATAAGAAGAGGGAAATTTGGACACAGAGACATAGAAGGAATGATGGATACAGAGACCAGTGGGATGTGCTTACTTGTGGGTTATTGGGAGCCACTGGGTGCTGGAAGAGGTAGAGAAGGATTTGGGGGGTGGTTTCCAGGCAGGGTTTCTCTGTGGCTTTGGACGTTATCCTGGAACTAGCTCTTGTAGACCAGGCAGGTCTCGAACTTACAGAGATCTGCCTGCCTCTGCCTCCTAGCATCTTGGGAGGAAGCATGGCCCTGCTGATAGCATGCTCTAAGCCAGTGGTTCTCCCCCTTCTAATGTTGCAACCCTTTAATACAGATCTTCCTGTTGTGGTGACCCCCAACCATAAAATCATTTCATTGCTGCCTCATAACTGTAATTTTGCTACTGTTCTGAATTATAATGTAAATATCTGTGTTTTATGAAGGTCTTAGATGACCCTGTGAAAAGGTAATTTGACCCCCACAGTGGTCGCAAATCATAGGCAGAGAAGCATTGTTCTAAGGCTTCTAGCTACCAGAATTGTGAGACCATTTCTATTGTTTTAAGTCATCCAGTTTATTCTGATTTATTCTGATATCACTAAGATCTCTAACACTATGTTGTAGTACAAAATAGACTGTACTACAAAACTATTTTTAGAACCAAAAATAGTTAATTTCATAATGATGGAAAGGGCCAACACACCAGAAAGATGCAACAATTATAAATGAAGATATACCTTAGAGAACAGCCTCACAGTCGTGCAATCAAAGTTGACAAAGGGAGACAGACTTCAAAGCCTTGTGTAAATAATTAGTAGGACTACTAGCCATAAAATTAACAAAATTTGAACAGACCGTCCAAAAAGGCACTCCACTTAGCATATACAGAATACCCCACCTAGTAGGTAGAGAACACAATTCTCATTAAGAGCACATGAAATATTTCCACAGACTACAGGCCATGCTGCACATCAAGTCTCAATAAATAAAGGGACCGGAAGCATGTAAAGTATTTTCTATGACTACAATCAATTTAAATTATGGATGAACAGCAAAAAGAAAATTTGCAAAGCCTTAACATTTGAAAACAAACACATTGCAGTGGTTTGAATGAGTCGCATGCATTTGAACACTAGGTTCCCAGTAGGTGGCGCTATTTAGGGGGTTGTAGAAACTTAAGGAAGTGGAGTCTCCTAGGAGGAAGTAAGTCACTGGGGGTGAATGTCCTATTTGCTCTCCGCTTCCTGCTTGCAGGTGGAGATGTGATCTCTCAGGTCATTTCTTCTACTTTGCCTGCTGATTGCTGCAATGCCTCCTCGCCATGGTGGACTCTTGTCCCTTGGAAACTGTAGGCCAAGGTAAACTCTTCCTTCTATAAGTTGCCCTGATCAAGGTGATTTACCACAGCAGCAGAAAAGTAACTAGTTCACATATTCTAAATAAACAATAGCCTATGGTTAGGGAGGAAGCAACATAGGCATTTCCCTATGTTACTAAATATATACATTGTATGTGTGTATTATAAAGTTTGCAAACTTGAACTATGTATCTGGAGATGGCTGACCTTGAGCAGGGAGTAAATGTGTTCATTTTCACCAACAAGATAGTTTTGCTCTACAGACTCCACTTTCTCTCTAACAAAAATATTATTTCCAGTCAATTATGTAAGTGCGCCACCTAACTGTGATAATTTCCCATTTATGGGGAGTTTATGATATGCCAGGCATGTGCTGTGTGTTTTACATGCCACTTGACCCACACAACTGTCATGTTATTGATCCATACTCTTGTCTTGGGACATAGAGGGAATAATTTCTAGAGCTGAGATACTAGTTCAGCCCTGATTGACCTCAGAACTCCCAGAGTTTTTGACTTTCTGTGGTACTATTTATGCAGCGTCACAAGCCCAGATGCTATTACCTTCGGACAAAAGTGGCTCCAAGTTCTGTTGCCCTTATGAAAATGTCCTCGTGACTTTCAAATAGCATCATTCAAAACTCCAGATCCTGGTTTTGCAGCTCAAAGCCCTTCTCTATGCTGAGTTCTGGGTGAGCCGGAGGATTCACTAGGAATTTTAGTTAACGTCAAGCGAGAATAAAAAGAGACAAGATCTTGAGGTACTATCTGCCATGAGGCTGGACCTTTGGAAGAGGTGCTCATCAGTGTTCATGGAGGGACCAAGGATACCAGTTCCTCTTTCTGGATGTGTGTGTACTGTATACTTGCACTCCACACAACCAACATCAATCGCCCAGGTGTGTTTCTTCTCTGACACTTTACTGGAAGAAGTCTATGATGGTTTGAATAGGAATGGCCTCCACAGGCTCATAGATTTGAATGCTAGAGAGTGGTGGTGCTTGATATGGATTAGAAGGTGTGGCCTAGTTGAAGGAAGTGGGCTTTATTGTTTCAAATGCTCAAACCAGGCACGGTGTCACTCTTCCTGCTGCCTGCTGATCTGGATGTAGAACTCTCAGCTCCCTCTCCAGCACCATGTCTGCCTGTGTGCTGCCATGCTTCCTGTCATGCTGACGATAATGGACTAAATCTCTGAAATTGTAAGCCAGCCATAACTGAATGTTTCCCTTTATAAGAGTTGCCATGGTCATGGTGTCTCTTCCTAGCAATAAAACCCTAACTAAGACACAAAGTTTGCTGGGTTTGCTTTTAGTGCAACACAGGACCAATTTCCCAGGTGCCACAGTGGGCTGAGACATCCTACATCAATCATAAATCAAGAAGAATGCCCTCACAGACTTGCCCACAGAACAACCTGATGGAGGCATCCTCTCACTTGAAGCTCCCTCTTCCCAGATGACTTTAGCTTGTGTCAAGTTGACAGACTGGCAGTCACTTTCTGCTGCTACAGCTACTAACCAAGATAATAAAGGGCTACTCTGCATCTCAGTTTTGGGCTGTGGCTGATTGGCTCTGTTGTTCTTGGGACTGTGGCAGGGCAGCTCATCATGCTAAGAACACATGACAGAGTAAGACACACTCACCCTATGACCAGCCAGAGAATAGGATCAGCCCCAGAGGGGGAAGACACACAAGTTCCAAAGATCCAGACTAGGAGTGAGTGTAGCATACCCCTTACAAGTATAGGCAAGAACACACACACCCCTGTGGCCAGGACTAATCCAGAGGGAATGGGAAGTCTAAGTCTCTGACAGATCCCCCTTCTGTAAGATGACAAATGGCTCCAAGTTGCCCCACCTCTTGCATCTGAGTGGCAGTTGAAAAGGTTAATGATTTTCCACAACTCAGAGTCAAATCGGGCTGGATTATTTTTCTGTGTCACCACTGCCCCTGACAAAAGGAATAGAGTGGCCCCATGGGTGCAGATCTGATATTCATTTTCCTCAGTGTTAGTCTCACTAGACCCTCAAGGTGCCTGGGGGTGAGGTGGGGGTGGGAGCTTTTACCACCAAGAAAAGGAGTGATGTACAAAAACCAAAACAAAAATGATGCAGTGTTGGGCTGGGGGTGTACTCACTTGGTAGAATGTTTGCTTAGCATGCGGGAAGCCCTGGCTTTGATTTCCAGCATTAAATAAAGCCAGAGTGTGCCCATGATAGATGGACAGAGATGAGGCAGGGGCGGCCTTCACATTGTATTCAGTAGACAAGGAAAGCAGGGTGGAGAGAGGCCCCGCGGTGTTCTCCCCCTAACGCCCCCCCCAGAAAAAAAAGCTAATTAAAAATGTGACGCTTGGGTCTGCTGAGGGTATTTATGAGTGAGTCTAGAGATGCTCATGGTACCAAAGTTGGTTTCCTCAGCTATCAGGCAAAGGGACAAGAATCCTTTCAAGAACAAATCTGCCACCACTCAAACAGGGAAGCTGGAGTCCAGAGGAGGCAGAGTGGTCCAACGCTGGTGAATTGCAGGACCTGTGAGGAGTCCAGGGCTTCCCTGGTTTTGTTTGGGACTGACCCACAGGCAGAGTCCAGAGGAGCCCTCCTTAGCAGATGACCAAGTTTGACACCTCCCGCCCCCGGAAACCAACAGCCAGCAGATCGGAAGGGAAACATAGCTTCACTTGGATACAGAATAGGACCTTAGAATTTTTAGTTTAGAATTTTATTTTGACACAGGGCCTCCTGGTGTCCAGCTGGCCTCAAATTCCATAAATAGCTGAGGATGACCTTGAATATCTGATCTTTCTTCCCCTACCTTCTTAAAGCGGTGCCCGATTTTACAAGGCTCAAGATCGAACCCAGGACCCAGTGCTGGCTAAGCAAGCACTCTACCAACTGAGCTACACCCCCTGCCTGGATCTTTTGTTTTCTCCCACCAAATCTGATTTTGAACTAGGTGGGAGACCCAGACAGACTGCCAGAAAGGGATATTTGCGGGCCATGACCCGGGCACAGCTGCAATCATCTCGCTCTTTCTCTCCACCGCACTCCGCCAGTACCACGACTACATCTGCGCCCCACGCCACTAGCCCCTCGCGGAGAGGCGCCCGCCGAGGGTGGGCCCTGCACCAGAGCTCCAGCCGCAACACCCGCAGACCTGCCCCGAGCGCCGCGCGTAATCACGGTCGTGGGCGGGGCGCCGGCGGTGGGCGCGGCGTCCGGGTGGCGCTCGCCACTCGGGCGGTGGCGCGGGCGCCCAGGGCGGGTACTGAGGGGACCTGGAGGCGCGGCCCCGGAGCTAGGCGGACGGCGGGGCTGGGGTAGCGACCACGCGGGGCCGCTGTGCCTTGGACTCGTGAGGCTGCTGCGGGGCGCGCGGCCCTTCGCCATGTACACCTTCGTGGTGCGCGACGAGAATAGCAGCGTCTACGCCGAGGTCTCCCGGCTGCTGCTGGCCACCGGCCACTGGAAGAGGCTGCGGCGGGACAATCCCAGGTTCAACTTGATGCTGGGCGAGAGGAACCGGCTGCCCTTCGGGAGACTGGGTGAGCCTTTCCCTCGTGGCCACTGCTCGCAGGGCCCCGGAGAGCCAGCGCTTTTGTTTTTAAGGTCATTAATCTTCTCCAGGCGCTAGCTCGCTCTGGAAGATCTAAAATGGATCCAGCAAGACCTAAACCCATAGCTGGATTCGGAACGGAGCCTCGGTGCGATTGCTCTGTCTTCGGCAGTGACCTAGCAGAGTGTTGGCCTCGTCCCCGAGCTTCCCAGAGCCCGCTGCAGTCGTCTTGCAGCTTTCTGCCACCGAGGATTCCACCTTATGTGGTGTGGGTGTGGAGGGGGAGTTGTCGTTGTTGTAATCCCAGAGGCTTATGCTACCGAGAGGCCCAGGGAATTTGGGGAGGACTCACTGCATTACCCAGAGCTGGAGCTTCCAGGCCAGCCGGGTGGGTGGTTGGTTAGGGGGTGTTCCATTTCAGACCTTTCAGCTGCACCAAAAGTGTGCATTCGCAGCTGTGTGTCTAATGATGGTTTTTACAGGAGTTTGGATGCCCTTTGGTCTCCTCATGCACATGGGCGAAGCGGGCTCGGTACCACTTTATTCACATACTTTTCTGTAGGAAGGGGCAGCGACTCCCTTTTAAATGACGTAATCTAGAAGTTGTCCAGATGGGTTCAACTAGCATCCTAACCAGACTTGAGCCTGGTCTCACGGTCTCTTCACTGCACAGTTATCTGAGCAAGGCCTGCCTCTCTTTGGGTAGCTGTTTTTTGTTTGTTTGTTTTTGCAAAAATTTACTTGGGGGTGTGGCAGGTTGTAGTCCAAGGACAGAAGGGGAGAACTGATAGCGAAGAAACATCTCTACCTTGGAGAACACCCCAGAGAGTAATGTCCCATGCCTTGGGAAGGGGAGTGTTTTCAGAAATAGGTGTGGTCACAGATGGATCAGACTAGACTGAGTTAACTAGCTATTTGGCAAGCTTGCATAAGGCATTTGGGTAGCATTATAGTCCTATCAATATATGATAGCTTGAAGAATGAAGTATGTTAAGACTTAACCTTACTGAAATGGTCCGGGGACAATTTTTCATCGTTAAAGTTTATGCTGTAGCATGATGACTCCACGGAGTGGCCAGTTGGAAGTTTCAGGAATGTCAGAATAGAAATGCGTTTGGTAACCAGATTCCTCTGGAAGGGCTCAGCAAAGAAAATCTCCCGAAACTAACTTCCCCGAAAGGAGTGCAGGGACAAATACCAGCGTGTCCTTCCTTGTTTTGCCCCTTGCCTTCCTTCCTGCCCTTCCTCTTGGCACTTGACAGTGCCTGATGGCAAGAGCCTTGGTGGAACTTGGTATTGAGAACACACCAAAGGCTCTGCTCAGGCTGGGGTGGGGTAGGTGGCCTTGTTGCTGTGATGACAAAGTGAAACCCTTTGGGACCAGTCCTAAGAAGGCACCACACATTTAGCTGATGATCAGCAAATGTTTTGTTTTTATGGAAAAGACAGATGCATCCTCTTAACTAAAATGGTTCTGCACTCTCACAGTTGGGAGCATTCACATTTTTCTAAGGTGGGCTGTATAAAGCCCAAGGAGAAAGCACAGAGTCATGTTCAGGCACTGGAAGGCCAGACCAATGGGATGAGATGGTACCAGGTCAACAGTGAATCGGACCCATCTTCCCCATGGAGACCGAAAACCAGATATTTTCTGAAAGTTCTGATTTGATTGTATGCCATGGTTGGATTAATTATTGTTAACCCCTGACATCAACTCAAAGTCTCTTTTTAAACTCTTCCCTTTTGTTACTGGAAATGCAGAGCATTTTGTTAGGAGTTTAATTTTTTAAATAAAATGTATTTTTGTTATTTTATCTCCAATTTTTATCTTTATTTATTTCATTTCATCTTTTGTTGTGCTGGGGATTGAACCAATGGCCTCGTGTGTCGATGATGCAGTGTACCACTGAGCCACACTCCCGCCTCCTATTGGGGTTTTAGAAAGGCTTCTGTAGTACGAACTGTTGAAATGTTTCCTTGTGTGGTAGTGCAAAGAAGTTCTCTGGGCTTCTGACCTTGTCACAGGGCCTTCCTAATACCTTCTTTCACTTCTTAGTGGCTTCTAGAAGCTCCCGGGGTCGATGTGCCATACTCTGCTGCCTTCTTTGATGTATGCAAGTAACCTTGCTCAGCAGATTACAAGCCTATGCGTGCTAAGCTAAGAGAGGCTGTGTCAGGACCAGGAGAAGTAAGAAAGAAGGCAGCCACATCGCAGATGACCTGCATACCAGTATTAATGCTGCAGTATTGAGAGCAGATAACGAGAGGACAGAGGAACAGAAGTATCCCACGTTTGACAATGGACCGAGAGACGGGAAAGCTGGGCCTGACACATCTGTTCTGCACGCTGCTGCTGACACTGTCACTCCGCACCTGTTCTGTTTCCATTCTGAGTCTCTTCTTTCCTTATAGGTCACGAGCCTGGGCTGGTACAGCTGGTGAATTACTACAGGGGGGCGGACAAACTGTGCCGGAAAGCTTCCTTAGTGAAGTAAGTGTTCCCGAAGACCTCCATTTTTGGTATTTTATATAAATGGTTTTAGTTTTCATCCTGAAGCGCTTAGGCCAACATAAGGGATTATTTTAAGGAGAGGGGAAAAAAAAGTCACTTTTTTTTTTTCCAGATAGGGTTTCTCTGTGTAATAGCTCTGGCTGTCCTGGAACTCGATCATTAGACCAGGCTGGCCTTGAACTCACAGAAATTCGCCTGCCTTTGCCTCCCAAGTGGATTAAAGGCGTGTGCCACCACTGCCTGGCTAAAAACTGTTTTAAAAGTCAACAGCTGCCGGGCGGTGGTTGCTTTGACTACAGTTTGAGACGTTGCTGTGTATCACTTACTGAACCCTGCCTATCTCCTAGGTGAGGCTCCCAGAAGCAGAGCCCAAACCTTCGGAAGGGGGTTTGTGGTGTAAGTGGTTTCTTGGAAGATATACAAGACAAACCCATCTGCAAGCGAGGGGGGGCAGGATAGGGCAGGGTGAGTTAGGAGCCAGGCAGAAGTCATTTGCCCTCACATGGATGACACCTCAGAGTCGTCACACTTGAAGAGAGGCTGAGCTTCTGCCGTCATGTCAGTCAGGAGCAGTTCCACTTTTTCTAGGTATTTGCTCACCTAGAAACTTTCCCATGCTCTCTTGTGGGAAAAGGGCAGGGTGGAGGGTTGGGGTGGGGATAAGTTGTGAGGCATTTCTGGTCCCTGGAGAAGGGTGTGTGCAAGCGTCTTCAGAAGACTCAAGCAGCTAGAGGGCCTCAGAAGACATTCAGGCAGAATGCAGCAACCGTCCATCTCTGAGCCATTGGGGTGTGGCTAAATATCACAAGGGTGGTATTATAAGGTAGAAGTCAGCAGTATACCGTGGCTGAGATCCAAGACCAGCAGCTTGGGATTAGCCTCAGCTCTTTGAAGAATCTAATTAACAGGCAAACCTTCTCATTCCTCTAAGCCTGAACGGCTTCCTCACAAAGTGGGTTAAACTAGGTGAGTGGATGAGTGGATTCAGCATAAGGATCTGCTGCTACATATGGGTCGTGGGTATTTGTGGGTTTGTGTGTGTGTGTGTGTGTGTGTGTGTGTGTGTGTGTGTGTGTGTGTGTGTGTTTTGAGACAGGGTTTCTCTGTATTGCTTTGGAGGTTATCCTGGAACTCGTTCTGTAGACCAGGCTGGCCTCGAACTCACAGAGATCCGCCTGCCTCTGCCTCCTGAGTGCTGGGATTAAAGGTGTTTGTCACCACCGCCCGGCGGGTATTTGAGCTTTAACTTTCTTCTCTATAAGTGTAATGGTAGTAACTATCTATAGTAACTACCTATGACTCTTGTCATCATCGTCATCATTACTGTTATTTTCATATGGAACTCTCAGTCTGGTCCCTAAGATCAGGGCTGTAGTAGGTCTCCTGGACTCTTTTTTTTTTTAAAGATTTTATTTCTTTATTACATATACAGTGTTCTACCTATATACCAGAATAGGGTACCAGATTGAATTGTAGATGGTTGTGAGCCACCATGTGGTTGCTGGGAATTGAATTTAGGACCTCTGGAAAAGCAGTCAGAACTCTTAACCTCTGAGCCATCTCTCCAGCCCCCCTCCTAGACTCTTTCTCTGCAATTCATAAACAAATATGAATAGCCAAAAAGCCTTCACGTAGAGACACTAGGAGATGGGATTCAATACAAAATGCTCTTTTTCCTTGCTAATGTTTCTTTTAAGAGTTTGGGTACATATGGTAGCATCTCTGTTTTTCTTTGGATGTGGTGGTTCTGGTCTTTTCCATCTCTCTTCTCTGGGATGGATTTTCATGATTTAGCAGCAACTCATAAAAGAGTGAGGCTTCATGAAGTCTTTGTATGGTGTATTTTATTTGTTGGTTGTTTTTTCCAAACAAGTTTTCTCTGTGTTACAGCTCTGGCTGTCCTGGAACTGCCCCTCACCCCACCCAGTGCTGGGATTAAAGGTGTGGGCCACCACCGCCCGACCAACACATTCTTTTTGTATTTAGAATGTAAATGATCAGGGCTGGAGAGATGACTCAGGAGTTTGTTTGTTTGTTTTGGTTTTTCGAGACAGGTTTCTCTGTATTGTTTTGGAGGCTGTGGGTCCAGCCTGGCCTCCAACTCACAGAGATCCGCCTGCCTCTGCCTCCCGAGTGCTGGGGTTAAAGGCGTGCACCACCACCGCCCGGCTGATGACTCAGGAGTTAAGAGCACACATACAGCCCTCCCAGAGGACTTGTGTTCAGATCCTAGCACTCACGATACACTGCTCACAACTGCATCTGACTAGCTCATCTGGTCACTGTTTGGAATGTGAACATACCCACACAGAGAAATAAAGACAAAAGTAGAGTTTTGCTTTTATAAGTACGAAGCAGAGGATGCTATAAAAATAATAGTGCTTTGCATATTTGCATATTCAACAGCTGTAATGAGTCAGAGAGAATTCAATGCTGGAGTCATGACCAGTTCTATTACCTTGGACAGCAGCACTCTGAATCCCAGTGTCTATTTGCAAAATGGGCTTGGATGGTGATGGTAGTACCCATTCTTTGACCCAGAGTAACATGATATATCTTCTGTAATGGCATCTTGCAAATGGTGACTGTTGTCACCATAATCATCAACTTCCTTTGTTATCTAAGTTTTCTGCCGGGGGCTGTAGCAATTTCAGGAAGAGACTGTTCCCTCTTGCAGTGTGTCTGTTGTGATTGTGTATGGCTTGAAGGGATACTAGAGGCTTAGGAGTGGGGGTGCCAGCTGTGGGTTCCAAGGCCACAGCTGTTTATATTGAGCCAGGAGGGTTCTAATCTGTACAAATAGGACAGTATGGCCAGGCTTGCCTGAGAGGGCTTCTCAGAGCCTTAATGAGGTTCTGTGCTGGATCTTAGACTATCTGTTCCTTCTTTCTGTCACTTCAGGGAGTATCAGAAATTCATGAAGAACCTGTGGCCACAGCCTAGAGCCCTTGAGGACTTTTTGTCTCCTGGCAGGGTGGCAGGCTTTTTCTCTTCTGAGCTTTACTCCTGTGTAGGTTTAGTTGCACAGTTGCTTCCCAAACCGGCAGCTGAAGGAAGGGAGGACTTCACGAAGAGCTTACACTGGGAATTAGGGCTTCCTAACCAAGATCACCTTACGAACCAGCACTGCCCAGCAGAAACAGGATGCCAGTCACATGTGCAATGTTAGTCCTAAAACAGCAAGGGCAAAGAACAGGCGTCATCAATCTACTTTATTTAGGCAAATAAACCCAATTATGGAGGTGCTGGATAGTTTTATGTCAATTTAGCATAGCTAGACTAATCTAAGAGGAGGGAGCCTCAGTTGAGAAAATGCCTCCATAAGATCTGGCTGTAAGGCATTTTCCTGATTGATGGAGGAGGGCCCAGCCCATTGTGGCCATCCTTGGGCTGGTGGTTCTGGGTTCTATGAGAAAGCAGGCTGAGCAAGCCAGGAGGAGCAAGCCAGTAAGCAGCCTCCTCCATGGCCTCTGCATCAGCTCCTGCCTCCAGGATTGTGTCCTGTGTGAGTTTCTGCCCTCACTGCCTTTGATGAACTGTTCTTTGGAACTGTGACTGAAATAAACCCTTTCAGCTGGGCGTTGGTGGTGCACACCTTTAATCCCAGCACTCAGGAGGCAGAGACAGGTGAATCTCTGTGAGTTCAAGACTAGCCTCATCTACCGAGCCAATTCCAGGACAGGCTCCAAAACAATACAGAGAAACCCTGCCTCAAAAAACCAACAAAGAAATAAACCCTTTCATCCCCAAGTTGATTTTATTAATGGCATTTCATCACAAAAAACAGTAACCTCAACTGGCTGGGCATTGGTGGCACACACCTTTAATCCCAGCACTTGGGAGGCAGAGGTAGGCGGATCTTTGTGAGTTCGAGGCCAGCTTGGTCTACACTCTTGGTCTACAAGAGTGAGTGCCGGGACAGCCTTCAAAGCCACAGAGAAACCCTGTCTTGAAAAACCAAAATCAAACAAACAAACAAAAAACACAAACCAGTAACCTCAACTAAGTCAATGAGTGTAAGAGTGTAGCTTATTGGAAAAACACTTGCTTTTAGTGTGCAAAGCCTTTGGTTTGATCCCCAGCAATATAAAAAGTAGTCCCCACAAGAACCCACACTCTAAATTATATTGTCTTTTGACATGTTATTAATATAAAAAAATGAACTATACATTTTTCGTTCTAAGTCTTCAAAATCTGACATGTATTTTAAGTTTATAACATGTCCTGGTTCAGAGGTCACATTTTCACTGGAAACCTTTTAGCTGAATCTAGATTTCTTTTTTTTTTTTTTTTTTTTTTTTTTTTGGTTTTTCGAGACAGGGTTTCTCTGTGGCTTTGGAGGCTGTCCTGGCACTAGCTCTTGTAGACCAGGCTGGCCTCGAACTCACAGACATCCGCCTGCCTCTGCCTCCCGAGTGCTGGGATTAAAGGCGTGCGCTACCAAGGCCCGGCTGAATCTAGATTTCTTAAACTATGGTTGGAAAAAAAAATTAGAGCCAGGTGGTAATGGCACGCGCCTTTAATCCCAGCACTTGGGAGACAGAGGCAGGCAAATCTCTGTGAGTTCAGGTCAGCCTAGTCTACAGATCGAGTTCCAGGAAAAGCTCCAAAGCTACACGGAGAAACCCTGTCCTGAATAACCAAAAAAGAAGAAAAAGTATATTTAGGGGTGGGGATGTGGCTGGCTGGCTCTGTTGATAGTGTTCACTTAATAGGTGCAACAAAATCCCAAGGAGGTAAGCCCGAGTTACATAAGACTCTAACACACACACACACACACACACTAAAAAGTAGATTTCTGTAGCCAAATTGTTCCAAATTTTTTTTTTGCAACTTTCTGTTCCAACAAATTGTACCTTTCCCCCCCCCCCCCCAAAAATAAAGGTTTTTAATAACTGGATCATCAAGCAAACCTTTCATTTAATATTCATATACACATTGGCAAAATGGATTGCTTTTTAAGGAAAATTGACTAGGGT